ACACTCCAAAGCGCCATAGAGAATCCTTGCCATGTAATTCTTCAGACCTCAGATCCACCCCTGGATGTCCTGGCTCCAGCTTTCTGGTCTTACTGTGTGTCATACTATAGGCAAGTCTATACTACAGCTGTAGCACGTCTGGTGAAGATGTGCTGTGCCGATGGGAGAGTTGGGAGGAGAGCGTCTCCTGCCAACATTGCACCGGTGTGGACAGTGCTTAGGTTGCTGTAACTTATGTCGGTCGGGGTGTGTGTGTGTCTTTTTCACGCCCTTGAGTGACGTAAGTTACATCAACTTAAGTGATAGGACCAGCCCATGGTCTGCATACTTACCCCTCTGAGCAAGATAGATGCTACAGATTAGAAGTTCGTGTTGGAAGGGCAGCATTAACATCCTTACTTAAATCATGGGTATTCTGTTGGGAGGATGCCATGTAGCACTTCTACTCCCTAACTCTGACTCCCTTCAGCTAGCCAAAGCACCCACAACCCAGAGTGCTCTAATGTTGCCAAGTTCTAGTTGCCACAGAGAGGCTCTCAGAGCCTTGGGAAAGGTAAAGAATGTGCTACACTGGCTCTGCTCCTCTCCCCTTCTCACTTTGCAGCCAGATACCACTCCTTTGTTCCCCTCAGCGCCACAGAAGAGAGGTGAGCAGAGATGCCTAATGAGGAAAAAATCCTCTTATCTTTTGCATGAGAAAGCTTTAACCAAAATGTAATAAAAATGGAAAGGGGAAAAAAATAAAGACCCTAAAATAGAAGGGACATCTGCAATCCCTTACTAACAAATACAGCATTATTCTACAGTAATGGTTCAAAACCCTGCAGTAATACCATTGGACAAAGGTTAATCTTGTGTTTCAAACTCAGGAATGGGAGTCAAGAGACCTAGATTGTATTCCTAGATCCCTCAAATATTTCCAGTAAGGTCATATTATGTAAGTCACTCACATCTCTCTGTGCTTCAGTTTCCTCAAACAGGAATGCGTAACTCATTAATATTTGTGAAGTGCTGTGAGATCCACACTGAAGGCCCCATACAAATACAAGGTATTTTAAGAATATGCTGTGATGTTTTGGATCATTACTACAGAATATTTTGGCCTCATTTTTAGCTGGGTCTGAAGCTTGCCTCTAATATCACAGGTGCAATTATAGGTTAGTGCAAAATTGCAGTGCAATTTAGATCCTAGTATTGAACCGGTAAATCAGGCAGTTAGGCATGTCGAAGGATGGCGTTGGGGCCCGGGTTGATTGCACTTGCAATTTTGTCCCCAATTACGTGCCTCCAACTGCGTTCACGATATGAGAGTCTGTGCTTGAAAAATGTAGGGCTTGGTATACACATTTCCCCCCTTGGAAATAATGTGCATCGGACCAGGCGCTGTGCTTGGACTCTGCAAAGCAAATCAGAGGGAGCCGAGAGAAGAAGATTGGAGGAACGCGTGTTGTGATGGCCAGCCCATCCTCCTCCCACTAAAGGAAACCTCCCCGGGGAGGGAGGGGACAGAGAGAAGGCTGGGGACAAATGACAGCACAGCCGCTGCCTGGGAAACACTGCAAGGGGGCGGGCTAGCGCGCGCGCGCGTGTGCTGCTGGTGGTGGTGTGTGTGGGGGGCTCTCTGAGCAGGGAAATCCTGCATCGCCTACATACAGGCAGCATCTCCCACTGCTACACGCAGTGCATCCCCGGAGCGATGCACTGCGTGTAACGGCGGGGAGGGACCAGAGCCTTGAGAGGAGGGGCGCCTGTACGTGCCAGGGAATTGCCAAAGGGCCACAGAGCCCTCCCCCCTCACACACCTGCTTCCCCATTGCAACGACGGCGAGAAGCCCGCGGTGCAGGGGGAAGGAGGGAGGCTCCGTCCGCATGGTTTGACTGCAGAAGGGCAGGGGCGGAGGGAGGGAGGGAGGAGGTGGCCGCTGCTAGGTGCAGCCGCGTGTGTGTACTGACGGAGCGTGTGTGGGATTGTTGCGCTCGGTAACCAGGCAGCCAGGGGCTTCCTGTCAGCCCTGCAAACACAGCCCCGGGACTCGGAGACGAGGCAGGATCCCGCGGAGAGCCCAGGGGCCGGGGCACCGGGAGGGCGGCCGAAGAGGAGCGGAGCGCTGCGGGAGAGAGGTACGGTGCTGGCCGGGGGAGCAAGCGGCGATCCGAGCAAGCCGGCAGCCAGCGCTGTGCCGCGCCGCCCGGCTGACTTGCCGTCCCGAGGATGGGCGCAGTTTGGGTCTCTGCGTCCTGGGTGAAGATGGCTCAGTTTCTACAGTGTCATTTCCGTTAGGAGCAGCTCTCTCTCTGCCTCAGGGCTAGCTGGTGCGAGACAGGAACCAGGGACAGTGGTCTTCTGGGCATTGATGTTGTTAATAATAATGTATTTGATTTTGAACAGGAAAATATGGGGTTGTAATCAAACCCTATGAGGCAGAGCACCCCACCACAGAAACTATTCTTGGGCCTGAACCAAACCCCAGTGAAATCAGTGACTTTCCATGGACTTCAATGGATTTTATAGATCAGGCCCTTACCCAAGGGAGAGGGGGGAAATATGCACCAAAGGCTAGGGAACTGCACACGCAAATGTTACAATAGCATCCATTCCTGACATTCACTACATACACTACAGAGCAATATATATTTCACCTAGAAACATATGACTTGTCAAGTTATAACTGTATGTATTTGCCCAGCTTGGGCTGTACAGAATAGTGATGCATTAAGGGCAAGACTATTGCAACAAAAATTCAAACAAAAATGCACTGGGGTGTGTGTGTGTGTCTGTGTGAGTGAGAGAGAGTGTGTAAAAACTTTGAAGGATACCAGATCTGAAATATTAGCAGTCAAGGCTGTTTCTAGGATTTTGACATTGAGGCGTGATGATTTCTCCTCTAGTGATTACAGTATTAATAGTGGGAGAGCTGCTTGTTTGAACTATTCTCAGAGTCTCCTGTTATGGGCCGGATTGTGTGAGCAGATACTCATGAGTTAGCCAATTGATGTCAGTGAGACTACTCCTGTGAGTAACTGAACAGCAATGTCAGTAAGGGGCTCATAATCTGTTCCTGTGTGATTTGTGGGGAGATTGTATGTTGTTTCTGGGTGCCTACCAAAACCTTGCAAGTGCTGAGGCTGTTTTCTGAAAGAAACCCAAAAAGGACATATTTTTCTGTTGTAGTATTGATGATAATCAATTTTGAGTAATTTCCGAGAATCATTTTCACAAAGGCTAAGATGTGTTTTAACACTTCAGGTCTTTATAACAAAATGTTGCTAAACTATATTAAAATGTTACTTTCATCTGTCTGGGTGCTATGTTGGCTTAATTATGAATAATAGAAATACTTTATTGATTGTGGTGCTAACCTTAAGTGGTAAATTATATGTCACAATGTTTTATGAGTACAATATTGTAATTTTTGGAGATGTTCACTATTTCTGACAGCAACCACCTGTTCATTATTTTGTGGATATTTGAAACATTCTTTAATAAAATGTCTTAAAGAAAAGAGGAACTGCTGTCCCAAATCAAACAGATCATGCCCAGATGTGAAGTTTGAAAGATTGTCTCTGCTTTCCTGGATTTCTTTTCATTTGTGATCATAATTTTTAATATGTTGTCTTCAGACATTGACTAAATCAGTGGCAATTCCATTTTATACCATTCGTTATGAAATACAGCTGGATGGACATTAATCACTGAAGTGCTCAAAGTCATGTGTGATTTGTGTTTAAATTAAATCTCCTCTTCTTCTAGTATTTGTTTCCATCGATATGGGGTCATCTCTTTGAGTCCTTCTTCTCCATTCTAGGCTGTCTTGAAGCAGTTCCTTGGAAACTCCGCAGCTAATGAGATCCTTTTGTATAACATTCATCCATCCAGTTTTCGGTCTTCCAATCCTTCACTCTATTTCTTATATTCTTCTGATCTTCTTTTCACATGTCCAAACCACCTAAGCCTGGATTCCTTCTGCTTTTTTATAATTGGTACCACTTTCACACTTCCCTTAGATTGTTTGTTCTGAATATGGTCCATTCTGGTAACTCTAAGCATCCATCTTAACATTTCCATTGTATTTAGGATCTACTCCTGGCTCTTCCTTGCTGCCCAACATTCAGAGCCATACAAAAGTGCAGGCCTAATTGCTCTCTTATAGGTCTTGCTTTTCAATTTGATAGGCATTCTCCTATCACAGGTCACTCCACTCATTTCTCTCCATTTAGTCCATGCCTTTCCTGTTCTGCATATAAGTTCATTGTTGAGTACACCATTATCCTATCAAACCTAGGTACCTGAATTTCTGTACCTCTGGGTAGTGATTGGCTCTCCCAGACTTAGTCTCATTGTCTTTCTGAAATGCATCATCAAATCTATAGACCATATACTCTGTTTTGTGTCACTGATTTCCATGCCATTTCTTTCAAATAGCTACTTCCATCTCTCTAAATCTTCTACCACTCCCTCTTTGCTCGCCCCCATGAGCACTGCATCTTCTGCAGAAAGCATGCCACTCTCTCTGCATGTTTTCTGTAAATCAAGCACCAACGGAAACAAAAAAGGGCGTGGTGCTGAGCCTTGATGTACTCCAACTCTTACAAGAAACTGCTGGGCTTCTCCACATGGCCTTCTAACTGTGGTAACAGTGCCTATGTATGTGTTGTGGATGACTCTACTATATTCTTCAAGTATCTGTTTCATTCTTATACACAACCAGATTAATTCTCTCACAACGTGGTCATTAGCTGTTTGAAGATCAATGAATACTATGAGCAAGGTTTTCCTCTTTTGCTTGTGGAAAAATATAGGGAAATCTTAATGCAGCAATAACATCCATTATTGACTTGCCTGGAACACATCCAAACTGATTGTCACTGACCTTTTGCTTTTCTTCATAGTCTCTTATCAATAACATTCTCCAAAATCTTCATCGTGTGGCTCATACGTTTAATGCCAAGGTAGTTACACAGTCTTGTATGTCTCTTTTTCTCTTAGAGCACATTAGTACCAGTATTTTTCTCAGGCATTGCTGTCTTCTCAGTCCTCATGATGGAATTAGACAGTTGTGCCAATATATTCACACCGATTTGACCCAGGTACTTCCATACTCCTACTGCTATGCCATTGGGGCTGAGAGCTTTCTTATTTTTCATGTTGCTTGTTGGTTCTGCAGCTTCCTTTAGGACTGGTGCCAGCAGACCCTGGTTTGGTTTATCATGCAGCATGGTTCTCTTGGAGTCTCCTCATTCATAAACATTTCAAAGTAATTTCTCCCCTGTTCCTTAATCTGGTTCTCATTGATCAATGTATTTGCACTTTCAATTTAATTATTTTGATCTCACCAATGTCTTTAATAGGTCTTTGCCAGTCTATATATTTCCTTCTCACCCTCCTTTGTTTCAAGACAGTCATATAAGCCTTCCATCATGGTTTTAGCATTAGCGGCTGCCACCTCTTTTGGCTTTTTTATACTGCTGAAAATCCTGCTGTTGGACGTTGCTCGCCAAAGTTAAAAATGCTTCTTCTTTTTTCTCCACAACCTCTCAAACTTACTCATTCCACCATCAGATGTGATTGGGGGGAAAAAGGGTCTTGCTTTTGTTTCACCAAGCAGACTCTTTGCACATTCTGGAATTTTGCTTGCAGTATGCTTCCATCATTGATTTGTATTTTCTCTTAACTCTTCTAAATAGATCTCCAACATGTTCATTTTAAACTCCTTGTTAACTTCATTAAGTTTCCAGCGCTTGGTTTTCTGTATTGCTTTGGACCATTTTCTTCGCATATTCACTATGTACCCATTGTCAAGAACTAGCATTCTATATTGAGTTGCACTGCTTTCCCCTGGGATGACCTTACAGTTTTTGATGTTCTTCTGATAAACCGTCTGCTACCTTCTACTACTATTCTGATCCAATGTTTTTCCTTCTTAGTGAAGAATGTATTGACTACCAAATCATATGTCTGGGTGTACTGTAAGATAGTTTTTCCTTCCTTGTTTCTATGTCCAGACCCATGGCTGCCATGCTACCTTTTTGAAGCATTTACTGTCGCTCCCCAGGTGGACATTAAGATTTATCCTTGGAGTCACTCTTTCGTTCTTTATCATTTTTTGTACAACAGTGTCCATTTCCCCCCAGAAATTCTCTTTTTCTTGTTCCTCCCATCCTACTTGGGGTTATACACACACAACATTTAGGGGGACATTTTCAAGAGCTAACTTAATGAAAATTATCCTGTGACTTATCCTGTCCACAACCACTGCACATTCCCGCATCACTTTGTCTAAAGCTCCATTTCTCTTATTCAACATTGCATAGTATAATGGTTAATAGCCTTCCCCAGTACCTCTTCTCTTTGCTCCCTTCCATTTGGTCTCTTGAATGCAGGCAATCCATACTTTCCTTTTCATCACCAGCTCTGCACATTTTCCAGTTAATAAATTCATTGTTTTAATAAATGGTAGTTGTGCTTCAGACTGTTACAATTTAAATAGACTGTACTCAAGAGTTTTCATAATCATGAATATACATCAGGATGGGGCATTTATTTTAGTTTATTAAAATTTGAGCTTGACTCATTAAAGGATACTTCATCCTTGGATTAAAGAATATGTGACTCATTAAAGGATACTTCACTAGGACCAGCTCCCCTGCTAGCATAAATTGGTACAGCCCATTGACTTCAGTGGAGTTATGTTGAGTTACATTAGCATTGGCGCCTAGTGTCAAAGAAAACCTCTACTATGAATTTTCTTTCTTTTGAACAGGAAAGGGAGTGTTTATCACCATAGGCCACATGCCCCTTTTTGCTTGGAAGTCTCAGGACTGATCAAGAATTTTAGTGTTTTTCTGTCTGAATGGAACAGTTAAGAGTTAAAGTTGCGGAAAGGTAAGTCTATACTTCCAGCTGGAGGTAAAATTTCCAGCTTGAGTAGACATACCCAGGCTACCTCTGATTGAGCTAGTGTGCTAAAAATAAAAGAGTAGCCATGACGCAAGCTGCGGGAGGGGCTAGCTGCCTGAGTACATACCCATCCGAGAAGGTAGGCACCTTAGTGTTGTTATATTTTGCCTGGCTTCACAGAAAATATAAAAAGCAAATACACGTTTAGCTCTCCTTCCTACAAATGTTTATACAGGTGCTTAACTTGTAACAAGTGAATAGTTGCACTGAAATCAGTGGGACTGTTCACACACTTAAAGTTAAGCATATCCCTATATGCTTGCAGGACTGGAGCCTCATTGACCACTTTACAGTCTGCAGAGCAAGGTACAGGGCATTTGCACGATGATTATGCCATATTCTAAAATGTCAAATGTCCAGCTTTCGTTAACCTCACCCAACCCCCCCATATGGTCAATTTATAAGCCCTCAACTTTATGTTTTAAAGTTCAAAAGCATGCAGAAACATAACTGTCAGAACAAGAAGCATCTGAAGCTCCAGAGAGGGTACTTCACTTGCTTTTTTCAGGAAAAAAAACCTGACAATTTTCCAATATTAATTCTTTCAGTTTCGGAGTGGAGGCATTTACAATAGCTTAGAACCCGGTGTCCTGTTTGAATGTCTCTATTTTGTGTTCTTTTTGAAAGGTCAACATCTACATCTTCCTTTACCTTCTTTTTCCGAAAGCAATCCATGATGTAGAAAAAAGGAAGTACAAAGTGACAGGGATGGAAGTTGGGAACAGCAGTATCAAAACACTTTCCAGAGCCAAACTGACGTTTTTTCCATGATCTTATGTAGTGTATGTTTAAGACCCAGCAGATTTTGGGAGAGCACCAGCACACATACGCTTGTTGTATTGCACAATGCATTAGCAAACAAGTACAGATTTGCAATTTAAATGTGGTCCAATAGCAATTTCTTTCTTTTATTCACAAGGCTAAAAACCAAATGGTTTCTCTGCTTGAAACACTGTTATCCTAATGCTTTTCATGTTTAAATTTTCTCCTTGAAACAGACTTAGTGCAATGTAGTTGCTACAGCTGTAAGTGAGCACTTTGGGCTATATAAGAGCATATCTGGCTGCTTTATTAAACTTTCTTCTAGAGGGAGCATAATTTAAGATATTGGCACGGGGCTGGAGGCCAGGAACTCCTGAGTTGTAATCCCAACTGTGTCCTTGTCAACACACAAAACTAGCACCAGTTTAACCAAAACCAGTTTTTAAATCATTTTAATAAAGCCCTGTGTGGACATTTTAAATCTGTTTGCACCGGACATATATCATGTTAGCTTAAGTCAGCTATTGACTGTTGTTTAAAAATTCTGATGACCAGTGGCCAGATCCTCAGCATTCGCTGAGCACTACGAACATTGTGATACACAGCACATGATTAGTAATATCAAAATAATAACTAAAAAAAATAGTATAGTTTTTTATTAAGTGTTCATCCTGTCATTTGCATATTTCTGCTTTTACCTTCCTCTTTCTACTATACTGTAACATAAATATGAATTTGTATTCTGTTGGGTTAGTAACCCTCTACCAAATTGATTTATTATTACTAACAATAATTGTAATTCACAGTGAACTACATACTATAAATACGATAAAGATGAACGAATTAAGCCATCTACCTACATTTTAAAAAAATTAATTGAGGCCTAAAAAGGCAGCAGGATCAATTTATAGGCGGGCCAAAGATTGCTAATTTGAAAGGGGCGGAGATTTCTTGAATGCTCCCCTTAAATAGTGTGTGAATTAGTGTGAAATGGTGCTCATGTAAAAGAGCAAACACTACAGCTTCTCAAAAAATAGTTTTTTTGACCAAAACACAAACACGTATTTTGCTGTTTCCCATTTTTCAACCAGGAAACACCTTTTCTGTCATCAACGAGAGTGTTAGATTGGATACTGAAATTAAGTATAGTCTTTTTTAAGACTATTGCATGTTCATTAGCTATCACATGTTTTATAAACTCTGGAGACTAGAAGAATGAGATACCACCAGATCTCCTAGTGGTTGTTCCAGGTTTAACAATAACTGGAAACTTGTTTATTTTCATTTAGTGGCCTAATTTTAAGTACAGCTAACGAGTTTCTAAGTGTTGTGAAATAATTTAAGCCTTCTAATCAAAAAGGTAACACAAGAGATTTGGTACTAGTATTTTCTACATGAGATAAGATTTCCCTTTTCTTGAATTTGCAGAAAAAATAACATATTCTACAGAGTTTAAAACCAATGCCATGCAAGAGCCGATTTCTGCTCTTGGGTTGACGTGTACAACTGCCATTGACTTTACTGGGGTTTGTGCTTTTATCTGAGAGCAGAAATTGACTTTCCATCTTTTATTTTTATTTTAAAATCACACTTGGACCCAGTGAAGGAAACTGAGTTATACCAGGTATTATTTTGTCCCATTGTGCCCAGGCAGATGGCAATGATGTTTTTAAATGAGATGAACATTTATTACAATGTTAAGGATACTTGTTCATTTTTATGTCATATCCTTAGTCTCTGTACAGTAGAACCTCAGGGCTGGTCTATACTTAGCCGCTAGTTCGGCGGCTGGAAATCGAACTTCCTGGTTCGATTTATCGCGTCTGGTCTGGACGCGATAAATCGAACCAGGAAGTGCTCGCCGTCGACTGCGGTACTCCAGCTCAATGAGAGGAGTACCGCGGAGTCGATGGGGGAGCCTGCCTGCCGCGTGTGGACCGCGTCTGAACCGCGGTAAGTTCGAAGTAAGGTATGTCGACTTCAGCTACGTTATTCACGTAGCTGAAGTTGCGTACCTTACTTCGACTTGGGGGGTTAGTGTAGACCAGGCCTCAGAGTTATGAATACCAGAGTTACAAACTGATCGGTCAACCACACACTTCATTTGGAACTGGAAGTACACAATCAGGCAGCAGCAGAGCCAAAAAATACCCCAAAGCAAATACAGTACAGTACTGTGTTAAACATAAACTACTAAAACAATAAAGGGAAAGATTAAAATAAAAGATTTGACAAGGTAAAGAAACTGTTTCTGAGCTTGTTTCATTTAAATTAGGATAGTTAATAATACAGCTTTGAAACTTTACTATGCAGAAGAAAAATGCTGTTTTTAAGTCAATGTTCAGTTGTAAACTTTTGAAAAAATAACCATAACGTTTTGTTCAGAGTTATGAACAACCTCCATTCCTGAGGTGTTTGTAACTGTAAGATTCTACCGTATATCTATGTCAAAAAGTAAATGTAATTAATAATATGACATAACAATAATAATGTAACA